CAAATCCTCTTTCCTTACCTCCCCCACCCACCTTGTTCTTGCTTTCTATTTTTGTCCCACCTTCAACCAATAATCTTCTAGTAAGTAAAATAAATGGAAAGCTCTGAAAGGGGAAATTATTGCTTTAATTCATGATTTCCGCTCACTTTATTTGCACTAGGTCACACTGGTGAACTTTGTGTGAAAGATGGTAGTTGGAAGTATTCACAGAACTTTAATTACATGTGCTACCTTTTATGACACATAATTTTTTTTTAAATCGTATCCCATTGGTGAAATCTGAGTAAGGCTGTTGGATTGTGTCAGTGTCAGTGTCCTGGTTGTGATATTGTTTTATAATTTTTCAAGTTTCACCATTGGGAGAAACTGAGTAAAGTATACATGGGATCTTTTGTATTATTTATTATAACTGCATGTAAATTCACAATTATATTTAGCGAAAGATGACTTTATGCTTAATATAGTACTTAAAAGTACAGGCTTTGAGCCTGGCATACCTGGCCTTGAATCTTGGCTCCGTCACTTTTTCAGTGACCATGTTACCTAATTTCTCATTGTTTTGTCTTTCTCATTAAATAAATGAGGATAATAACAGTAGGTACCTGATAAAATTTTGAGAATTAAATGAGGTGGAGCATTTAAATTACTTTCCCATATGCTTTACATATAGGAAATACTGGAAAATATCAGTTGCTGTGATGATGATGATGATGATTTCTGTAATTAGAGATATAAGAGGAGCTTTTCATTGTTTCTCAGTCTGTGTTCTAACTGGCTACTGGATATTTTGGCTTATATTTAATGAAGGCATTTTGAATTTTCACATCATTATTTTACTTAAAATAAGGTCAACTTTATCATTTGGATCTAAATGATTATTGTTAATGAATTAATTGGAATTAAGACAAATTTGAGATCACTGTGTAAGTACAAAATAAGAGAGAAGAAACAGACCAAAACTGAACAACATAGTATCTATATTCCACAGTATCTATATTTCAGAGACACATCTCTGAAATATAAAATTATTTTCAGTTGCAGCCCTCCAGATTTTCTGTATGCAGAGAATGTACACATATGATTTCTTGCTTTTCTTTTACTGAAGTCCGTGTGATATAATGGAAAAAGCACTGAACAGGGTGCAGAAGTTCTGGACTCTAGATCCAGGTCTGTCACAGGCAGTGTGACCTCAGTTTTACCTTCTCAAGCCATCTGGTTCCCTAGGTATAAATTGTGAGATTTGAGTTGGATTAGTGGCAGCGGCAGCAGTGACTCTCAAAGAATGGCCCTTGAACCAGCAGCACTAACTAGCTTCACCTAGGAACTTGTTAGAACAGTATTCTCAGGTTCCCACCTCAGATCTACTGATTTCTGAGAATGGGGTCAAATAATTTTTGTTTTAACAAGCCCTCCAGATAATTCCAAAGTCCACAAAAGTTTGAGAATCTCCTCTCTGGATTAAAGTTTAGTCTACATTCTAGGCTGTTGGCCCCAACCCCCAGAGTTTCTGTTTCATAGGTCTGGGCTGGAGTCTGATAATCTGCTTTTTTAAAGCTCTGAGGTATTGCTGATGCTGCTGGTTGGGCACCACACTTCGAGAACTACTAGGTTAGATAAACTCTAAGCTTCACTTCAACTCTGTGATTCCATCATTATCATTGTTTTCACAATACCTTCTGTCCCCCTCCTTATTTACTTTGTTTCTCAGTTTATTGAAATGCCCTTTACATAATAGCATTGAACTTTTCTAAAATATCCTGTTATGTAGAGGATGATGGACAGAAAAGAACTTCCCTAAGTTCTTACAGCTTCTGTTAATATGAAACACCTATAGCTCTTTAATGTTAAAAATGACCTTAATTAGTTAACTTTAATCTCTCAGTTACATAGGTAGCTACAAAGGAAATATCTTCAGACATCAAGATTCAATAATTAAAGTCTGATACCTGATTGCCACTGATGCCCTTACGCTTAAGATCTGAATAGCTTGGGCTCCAATGTAAAAATAAAATTATGTTTTCAGATGCTGTTTAATGAATAACACTAAGGATCCCAAATTACATTTTCAAATGAGCCTTTTAATCCCACCTTTTTTTTCTTTGTGTTCTGGATATTTAGGATAAGATAATGCTTTGTGAGGCATGGGTCTGCTAAAAACAAACAAGCCTTTACCTGCCAAACTGAATTATTTATTTGACTCATGTTTTCTTATTCGAAGTAGAGTTATGGGTTAAGATCCACTGTTTCTTGTGTTAGTTCTTTAGTAGTTTGATAAATTTCTAATACTGAATAGCAAACTGGATAAGAAAAACTAAGGATCTAACATTTTCTGAGTGCCTATTAAATCTTAGTCACCATGCCACGAGCATTACTTTTCTTGTTTATTTAATCCTCACAACAACCATACTGCTAACTACCGGCTAAGTTAGTACACATTAGCTTTGGTTTCTACATGAGGAAATAGACTCAGGAAGGCTGAGTAACTGTTCAAGATCACACTGCCAAGGAAATGACACTGTATAGATTTAAGCTTCACATTCATTTGACAACAAAGCCTTTGTAGACATAGTAGATTCTGAATAAATGTGTTGCATAAATGGAGGAATGACTATACAACATTATCTTCCTAATGTTAACTTTTAAACAAACGTAGAATTATAAAGTTGAAAATGCCCCATAGGTCATTATCTAGTTAGGGTTTAAGTTATGTCTATCCTTTAAAGTATCTGTGACATATGAGTATACAGCCATTACTTGACCACTTCTCTAGAGAAGGGCATGGCAACCCATCCCAGTATTCTTGCCTGGAGAATCCCAGGGACAGAGGAGCCTGGTGGGGTGGCAAGAAGTGAGACATGACTGAATCATCTTAGCACACACATTCACAGGAAAATAGCACAAAGAACCTCTTTAATCACAGTGATTATTGAATAACTCATTATTAGAAAATTCTTCTTTGCATTAAACTTGCCAAAAATCTTTATTTCGAGCCTAGTTCTGTTCTTTGTAATCACTCAGGCTTAATCAAGTTCTTCTTCCATACATAATTCTTTCAAATATTTCAACATAACTGTATCTCTTTTCTCTCCCAATCAAAATAGCCCCCATTTTTTCAGCTTCTTCTCAAGATCCATAACACATAATAATGATTTAATAAATATTCATTGAAAGAAGGAAAGAAAAAATTTATTTGATACCTAGACTCCCCACCTTTTGTTTCCTTCCTTTAGAATGTGAAGCATCTGTGCTGTGTTCTGGGTGTATGCTAAGACCATATTTCTAAAAGTAAATGAAGTGATTTTCTTTGATATACTCTTATACTAAATAATAGTACCCACAAAAATATCATGTCTTATTTTCTGACATAGAACACTGCTGTCATCTTTGACATCTCAAGTTTGCAAGCTGGAATTGAACAGCAAACCTAGTGCTTTTCTTCAGGGCTAAAGGCAAGACCTAGGCACCAGGGGATCAGCTCCAGTTTAAGCAGGCTAAGTTTGTACTCAAACGTACAAAACTTGGGCTTACCTCAGCTAAAATGGAAGAAAAAGCTGCCCAAAGCTAGTTTCTTTCACGCCCCACTGGCAAGGTAGTAATTGCACAAAGACCTTTTTATTATAAGTTGATTTTCCTGAGAAATGAATTCAGAAAAATACTGTAAAGTGTTTATTTTTTGCTTGCCCTTTATTAACCCACATCTTAGGGCTTTCCCTAGAGAGAAACTGTTGGTAAATGAAACCTCTTAGACCTACACAGGAGCATTTTTGCAATCTGTCCCTAGCTGTGAAGGGAACAGGGACAGGATAAGGCAAGTTGGTGCTATTTAAACAGGGTCATCAGCCAGTATATGGAATTTTGCCTAAAGAGAATATTTAGGAATTTAAATGGGGGAAGGGTTTGGGGTTGGTAGACTACTAGTAAAGGTTTGTATCTTAAACAGGATATAATACAGCTTCTTTATACTAGTAAGGAAGGTAAAGACCCTGTTTGAACTTAAAGATCGTTGCTGTTAGTACATCCTAGTTTTGATCTTTAAATAACAGAAGTCCTATAGTTTAATTTATAAAATCATGCCCTGAAAGCCAGTACAAAACCTTCCTGTGATGCTATTCTGGAATCAGGACAACATGCATAGAGTAAGGGAGGGAGCTGGGAAATTAAAATGTGATTTTCACAGACATGATTCTGTCATAGTTCTTATTTTCTTTATATGGAATACAAATACTGATATAGAGTGAAGATTTTCTGTTTTGCATTTTTGTGCTCTTTGATACATTTATTGAGGTCAAATGAGATTTGATATAGTAGGATTTATTATGAAATGCTCTCTGAATACAACTCCATAATTACTCAGCTACATGGTAGTGCATAAAGCTGTAAAACTGCTTAGCCAGACAAGCAATTTATATGTTACATCGAGGTGTGTATGGCAAAGAATATTAGTTTAATTGGGAGCCAAGAGGTAGTAGCCTTAAATCTGAAGGGCTATATGTTTGACATAATGCAGCGAGGCTTTGAAATAAGATACCTAAACTGGGGAGCTACAGCGTTTGGAATATACAACAATTAGACATTACTTTCTGACCAAGGACACTAGTAACAGTTTTCAAAATAAAGCACAGAATGCAAAGCTGATGAAAGGGCAAAACCTTTCAACACTGTATGATGAGAGAATAAAACATTTCTTCCGGCTCTTTGTTTTTTAAAAGAGAAAGAAAATAAAATTAAAAAAAAAAGTCAAGATGAAAGAAAACCATTCACTATAATTTGGTGGAAGCAGGGATGAGGCAAATTCACAAGGAGGTTAGATCGTTGGTATACCAATGGAATCTGAAAGGGATTTGGTAAAGTTAGCCTGAATTTTCTCTGGGACCAGATTTGGAATGGGGTTAGAAATGGGTGGCTGTTTGGGTACCAGCACACCACCAGGAGTGAAAACCAAATACTTCTTGGCGTGCATTTGCTCTGTGTCTGATCATAGGCTCTCTTCTGTTTAGCAGGTTCAGGGTCACATGCCTCCGCTCATGATCCCAATTTTCCCACATGACCAGCGGGCCCTGGCAGCGGCTGCCGCTGCCCAACAGGGATTCCTCTTCCCCCCGGGGATAACATACAAGCCAGGTAAGTAGACGGGGGTTTGACATCCCTTCGTGAATGCTGAGATCCGCATGCTTTTGCTTAGCAGTCAAAACAAACTCAGAAGCATATGAAGGGACTAGGAATAAAAAGATCATAAAAGGTATTCTAAAGTGAAATTAGAATTGTGAAGGGGGCATGTTATTAACTAATTGGTTGCTTGAAACTTTACTTTCTCTTCTTTCACTTGAACTTGTTCTGTATTCACAGATAAAATGCTACTTTCCCTCGGGACTACAAATTTTGTCAGCTCTCTCTCATATCTTTACTGTGAATAATTGTCTTTGGTTAAAGATACTTTTCTCTTCCTGAGAGCTTTTAAACTCTAGGAAAGTGGTGACATACAGTATAAAATGCTATTATTGTTTGTTGTCTGATTTCTCTTGGAAGAAAAGTTCAAACTGAACTGATTTAATTAGCTTGTCACTAATAGGTAAAATTCTTTTTTGATTTCAGTCTAAATAATGAAGCATTCAGTAGTATTTTCTCATTCATCTTTCAGCCTCAAAGACGAGGTCACATAACCTTGCAGTGAAATATGTTTTGAGATGATTTAGCAAATGTTATGATTTTTCTTTATTCCTTTGGGTTTACTGGACTCCTGGGGAATTCAATTAGGGGCATAATGGTTTGAAGCTTCTTTCAGAGCATCCTTGTAAACAGGGCTTTAAATGTTTAAAGATATGTTGCCAAAGGAATCCAATGTAAGATGATAGTCAAGTAAATAAAAGTCAACCTTAATTTCATTTGTGCATTCTTTGTAAGTGACCTCACCTCAGAAGTAGTGACCTTGTTCTACTCATTAATAATTTCTGTGTCAAGTTCTTTTTAACGTATTAACCTGATTATATTAACCTCCCAATCTGAGTGCAACAAATCTGAGTGCAGCAGATTTTTTGTGTGTATGGGTTTATAAAGGTATTTTAATATACTTAAAGCAATGATAAAATATAAGTCACTTTACAAAATTCTCCATGAGGAAACTTACTGAATAGCTTAAGACCAAACCTAGTGGGCTTTAACATCTATTTTTTGCCATCAGTTACTCTTATGCATTTGGTAGAGAACCCCCTTCCAGTGAAGAAAGGTAAGATGTCTGTGTGACAACCCAAATGATTCAAAAAATAGAGATTTTGAGGGATTGGCTAATTTAAGGACTGACTTTAAAAATTCCCCAGATACAAACCTGAGTAAAAGTATACCTGAGTAAAAGGATACCTAAGTAAAAGAAAATGGTGTTATTCAAATTGTTAAAAGTTGATTTTTCTAGAGCAGAATTTTTGGAGCAGGTTATATTCTGTTAGTATCTATATTAAGGACAGGATTATATTTTGCCAGAGAATACCTTTCTGTCAGTGCAGTGGTTCAGTTCTTCTCTGATCTCTATAAAATTTTTGAACTCTCTTTCATTTTTACTTCCTTCGGAGTATTGGTGTACACTAAGTTTACTTGTTTATTCTGAATCTGAGTTGTCATCCCTACACCAGTCTTAGAAACCTTTTAGATGAACTATACATGGAAACTCTTAATTTTCATGTTTTTAAATTTAAAATTCTCCACATTTCAAAATCAGGTTATGGGCATTGTTTTCTACTAGACATAGGCACCAACATAATTAGCATATTATGTAATTTTGTTAAGACAATAATATTGGTTTTTATGGGGGAAGCTATTTTTCTATAGTCAATCAATTTGGACCATTTTATAAAGAATCTTCTCATGCAGTATCAATGAGATTGCAGTAGATAAGTAAGAATCTAGAGACTGGGGCAATACTGTGCAGTGGTGCATCACTTCCTCTGAATAGCATCTGGGCAGCATAGAGCAATGTCTCGGGGTAGCAAAGCTGGATTTGATTATGTTGGCTACAACCTGCTAGTTAGGGCAGGACAGTGGATTTGGACATGTAGGATGATTTTCCATCACAAGCAAGGCTGGTAAAAAAAGGTATTATCTGGTGACCCTTAAGTTATGTCAGAGAATTGAGTTAACCAGAACTCTAAATTCCCAGGTAGCTTCCCAGGTGGCTCAGAGGGTAAAGAATCTGCCTGCAATGCAGGAGATGTGGGTTCAATCCCTGGGTCAGGAAGATCCTCTGGAGGATGGCAACCCAATCCAGTGTTCTTGTCTGAAGAATTCTATGGGCAGAGGAGCCTGGAAGGCCACAGTCCATAGGGTTGCGAAGAGTCGGACATGACTGAGCATGAACACAATGTGCATAGGCTAAATTATTAAATACTTTGGCTAATGCAGTTTTTATTTTTTATAAAAATTATACTTTATTTATTTGTTTAATTATTTAATTAGTTTTCCTCCCGGTTAGGTTGCCCTCCGAGATTCAAAAACTTCCCCCAGACCCGCCAGTGCAAGGGTTTCCTGGTGGTTGGAAACTTCCTCTATTAGGACTCCCTTCCCGGGAGGGGTCTCCGTCCCTAGCTCTTTTGTCTCTCTTTTTATCTTTTATGTTTTGTCCTACCTCCTTTCGAAGACAATGGGCTGCTTTTCTGGGCGCCTGATGTCCTCTGCTAGCGGTCAGAAGTTGTTTTGTGCAGTTTGCTCAGCGTTCAAGTGTTCTTTCGATGAATTTGTAGGGGAGAAAGTGGTCTCCCCGTCCTATTCCTCCACCATCTTAGCTCCTCCCCTCCAAAAATTATACTTTAAAAGAATTAAATTTATATGTTCAGATGCTACTGGTAGAGACATTACATACTTAGGAGACTTGGTGTACGCAGTGTTCTTGCCATTCACATGAATTGGGAGAGGAGAATACTATTTGACTGGAGCCTGGACAAGGAAAACATTTTTGCCCCAAACTGAGCTATAGTGATTTCACTTGTGTGACGGCAACACAAGCAGAGGAGCAGCATCACACTAAGAGTCTGGAAACGGTGGTTAACTGTGCAGTTTGATCTCCAAGCAGCAAGAAGAATAAGCACTACATTGGCTCTCTTTTTGTTCTTTTTTCGTCTTCCCATAAAACTGAAACAATTCCGCGCTGTTTTTTAAAATTAATTTTTCTTGGAGTATAGTTCTCTTCAGTGTCGTGTTAATTTCTCTGTACAGCAGAATGAATCACCCGTAAACGCACATATCTCCTCTCCTTTTGGACGTCGTCCCCCTTCAGGTCACCAGAGTGCATGAAGTAGAGTTCCCTGTGCTATACACTGTCTTCTCAACAGTTGTCTATTTTGTGTGCAGTGTCAATAGTGTATACGAATCGATCTCGGTCTCCCAACTGCTCCCACTCCCGCTGCCCTCTTCATAACCCTGTATTTGTTCTCTACATCTGTGTCTCTGCTTTTGCTTTGCAAATAAGATCATCTATACTATTTTCTCTAGATTCAAATTCTGTATTGTTTGTGCCTCTGGCTGATTGAATAATCATCTTCATTTCCAGAAAGCAAAGACCACCTTGGGGTTATGTTCACTGTTAAAGCTGACTGTTTCTGAATCCATATAGTACATTCTAAACAAGTATATTTAGAGCTATCAGCTTTCTCCCCTTCTGATAATTTGACCCATTGTTCTGGGTATTTCACGGTCCCCATGTGAACACCAGGCAAGCTCTCCCACCTTGGTAGGTTGCTGAGGAGGCAGGTTGACTACAGAGATTGTACCAGTTTCAGGGGAACATCTATCAAAATAACTTGTGTGGAATTTTTTTATTGAGTTTTAATCTTTAATTAACTCCCCCCCCCCCCGCCTTTAAAAACTGATTCTCTAATTAGAGGCATCTTTCTAGAAAGTAACTTCTCGGGCCTAGAACATACACCACAGAATATTGGTTGTTTTGCTTTATCACATCATGATACTGAGAGATACAGCAATCCAGGGTAAGATAAATACAGTTGAGCACCTGTGTTTGTGAAAATGATCAACAACAAAAAGCTTTTGTAGCTGCCAATGTATATATCAGATTGATTGAATTGACTGTAAAATAAAGATACTGGATAGACACCTTGTGTGCCAGGGATGGTTCAGCCGACCCATGGACTTCATGTAGCTGGGATTTTTAAAAATGATTGCTGCTAGAGCAGCACCCTTAACATTTCCCAGGAGATCCTAGGAATAGGATGTCTGCCTGCTCATGACTCCTTACTTACTTATTAGTTATATTAAACATTATGATAACAGTTAAAGTTTATTGAATAATTACTTTGTGCCAAACAGTGTGTTAAATGTTCCACATGGATTATATTTATTTAATTCTTACTTGAACATGTCACTTAGCCTTGCTGAGCCTCACTTCTTTATCATCTAAAAAAAATATGTCATGATTTGTCCACTGCTCAGAGCGGGTGTGAAGATTAAGTTTCTTAAAATATATGAAAGCTCTTTGAAAAAATTCTAAAGAACTACGTTTGGGGATAAAGTCTGACCATGAAACCTGAGTAAATTTAACTACACTAAACTGCATTCTTACCCACTAGAAATGTGGTTCAAGAACTGAGCATTTGACTGAGATATATTACCTCTCTGTCTGATGACCAAAAGCAATTTTACTCTAGTATATCTAATGCTTCTTTAAGAAAAAAAATTGTGGAAAAATATACATAAAATAATATTTTTTATATTAACCATTTTTCAATGTACAACTCATTAGTATTAATACGTCTGCAGTTTTTAGTAACCATAATCATGATCTATACTCCAAACTTTTAATCATCAACAACAGAAACACTGTGGCCATAAACAGTAACTCTCCCTATCCCCTTACCCCAAACCCCTAGTAACTTCTGTTCTGCCATTTTTCTGTGTGAATTTGTCTATTCTAGGTACTTTATATGAATAGAATCATGCAATATTAGTCCCTCTGTGTCTGGCTTATTTCACTAAGCATAATGTTTTCAAGGTGCCTCCATATTGTAGCATATATCAAAAGTCCATTCTTTTCCCACATTCTGGCTATGATCAATAATGCTTCTGTGAGCATTGATATGTGAATACCTGTTTGTGTCCCTGTTTTCAGTTCTTTTGGATATATA